ATGCTTGAACAGGGTCCGGTGGTGGCTCCGCCACTGGTTTGCTCGTCGAACGTGGAGTGGCTGACCACAGTCATGGTGAAAACCGTCCAGGGGTAGCTTTCTTCTATGTCTTCGGACTAGGCCCCAGAAGGATTGCAGGTTACCAGAGGGGGCGGTGGCTCAGTGGATGGGGGCACAGAGTCACGATCCTTCGTACTTTTTGGAGGCTGATGGGCTTCCCGGCAATTTCAAGGAGCTATATCTCCGATAAGATTTCACCGTAGCATGGGTGGTAGCTAGTTTTCTTTCTGTTGCAACACATCACAATCTTCCCCGATAAGAGGTGGGCTGGGAAGGGGATGGGCAAGGGGCTGATGGGTTGGGCAGGGGCTGATGGGTTGGGTAGGACGCTGGGAGGGGCTGATGGGCTGGGGTTAGGGGCCGTAGGCGGTCTCACGTGATGGCGGCGGTGTCGAGGCGGTAGGATGATGGTTTCCGGCAAAAAATTGATTCGTCGAAATTCTTTTCATCGACACAGTGACACGTTTTCCAGTATAGTGACATCTGAAAGTGACGTGAAATCGGTAGTGACATTTTAAAAGTAACATAAAACTTTGATAATGACACGTAATAGTTACATAAAAATCCGATAGTGACATCATGTTTTTCAAAATAGTGACCTTCTTAAAGTCCGACTGCATGCACCTCTCGCTACCGACCTCGTCGGGCTCTCGTACGAATCCCGCATAGCCGAGCTCTAGTCCATATCTCACGGTCTGGAAGGAGGCAACTCTCTGAATTGCTGGCGCAACGCCACAATCTGGAATTAAAGTCCGACTGCATGCACCTCTCGCTTCCGACCTCGCCGGACTCTCGCACAAATCCCGCACAGCCGAGCTCTAGTCCATATCTCGCGGTCCGGAAGGAGGTTGCTCTCTGAATTGCTGGCGCAACGCCAAACAGTCTGGAATTAAAGTTCGACTGCATACAATGCATCACTGCAAACTCCAACCGAGCTCATGTGAAGATCTCGTAGCCGGATCACAACTGTTAGGCCCACTTCTCAAGCCCAGAAGACCCCCGGAACCAAATTAGAGGTTCTATTTACATACTACATCTATTTGGGATATTTTACAAAAGAAAAAATGACTGCAACAGTTATTCACAGCAAGTGAAACAACTGTTGCAACTCTGCTAAAACATTTTCATCACAGACTGAGCAAGCGCTCTTGGATAACACAAGTTCAGACCCGTAAACAGTGGAGGACTTTGGATGATAAAGTCGCCTCACCCGTTCACACACCTGTCATTCCACGTTATGCTTTAGAGCAAACTAGAGGAAAAATTTACAAAATATTTTCTTAAGGAAAAATTAGTCCCAAAAGCTTTATGTCAAGCAATAGGGAATCAAACAAGCAAGCCCTCAGCTGCGAAGAACGACACAGCCAAAAGCTCCAAAGTAGAGCCACGGCCAAAAGCTCCACTGAAAGCTCCAACAGCTAGCAATCATTGCTGATGATAATCAATCAGCCATGGACATATGATAGTCCATTGCTGCACAAACATACAACAAAATGCAACATGGACATGTGAAAATCCAAGATTGCCAACCAAACAAAGGCACAACTCCACACTACTGCAAAAATAGCAAGGAATCGACCATGCTTGATCCCAAACAAGGATGGATATGCAACCTCTGCTGGGAACACTGCTACAACTTAGCAAACATGTGCTAAGCTCAAAACGGTAGGAGGAAAGACCATTTATGGCCCACTCCCATTTAACAAAACCCGTGCAACATACAAACAGATATGCAAAGTACATCAAACACAAGAACTACAGGAAAAGGCACTCCATACACAAAACACATACCAAAATTTGTTTAAGTGTTTACAACAATGAAGGCTCAACAACCAGATATGCAGAAAAGATTAAGGGGAGGGGAGTCTACTCCTTTATTTTCCTCTCCTTTTTCTTCTCATGTTCCACTTCCTCTCCAGCTATGGCCCCAACTGGCTACTGTTGAGCCGTCCGGGAATATACAATCTGTGGTCCACGAACAAGCTCCAGGTGTTGCATGGGCCTGGGCAGCTTATACTTCTTGTAATCAAAGTCCGGGATAACCTTGGAAAGCTTGCCGTATATTTTCTGCTCCATTTGATACTTCCCATATTCCAGAGATGGCATCAATTGCTTCCCCAGCAAATACGTAGGTATGCACATCGTCGGCAAACTCACCTAAGGCACCAGCATCATGCCTATTAAATGAGAGCGCACCCGGGGCAGTGAAAGGAGATCCTCCTCTTCTATCGGTGCAGATGAACACAAATCTGTGCTTCCACCCGTGGTGTGACGACGGGGTGTGGTAGAACCCACTCCTACCAGAGCATTGGGAGATGGCAGCATAGCCCTGATTCTCCGGCGAACTGTTAAGCCCGATTTGAAACAAATGCCGAAAGAGGCCGACGCTAGCCTTCAGTTTCAGCACCTTGCAACGCAGGAGGAAGGTAGCAATTAGATAAAACCCATTGGGGGTTATCTGACAAGGGAGCAGCCCAACCCAGTTGAGGTACTCCACAGAGAACGGATGCAGCGGGAAGCGAAACCCATGATCCATTGCGCCCGCATGGACCGTAGGAAGCTCGAAGGGCAAGAGGAAGCAAACTCCCCGCTTCAGGCCTCACAACATCAATGGAGGGACCAGCCATATGCCTGGCTTCGGCCCATTCAGTGTCGATAAGGGCACACGTGGCCACCAGCGGCCCATTCTCAGCAAGGTTGCCTGCCATATCCCCACCCCTCCTTTTACCACCCTTCCGCCTCTTGAAAGAGCGCGGGGGGGGGGGGGGGGGGGGGGGCATCAAACACTAAAGCGACCTCTTCGACCTCGCATTGAGGGATGGCCCTATCTCTGATGTTGGCAGAAGCACTATGAGAAGACATCTTCTTTGAAATCTGCAAAAATCACATACATGCAGAAAATAAAAAATCGGGGTTAAGGAACAATAATCTGACCCCCAAACAGAAATTAAACACTCGAATCGACACCAGCGTGCGATTCCGAGTCCAGAGGTACCAACCTCAGCCACAATGGGGGACTGTAAATCCCCCATTGCTTGCAACGCCAGTTTGACGGATCGGAAAAACCATCATTCTAGGTTTTCCGACTAACCTGCAACAAACTAAACACAGACAAGTAGGGGTGGGCATAAAACCCAAACCGAACCGGTATTGAACCGTCCCGTAATGGTACCGAACTGAATACCGGGTATTTAAATGGTTCCATAGATTTTTATCCCGTACCGAAACTGTAGGGGTGGGCGTGGAGACTAGCAGAGCCCGGAGAGTAGAGACTAACCTGATAGGGGAAGTCAGAGGAGGAAACTGAGAGCACGGTAGCACTAGCCGGAGAAGAAAAGCTCCGAGATTGCTTGGAAACTCTGAAAGCTCGAACACAAAGAAAGCGCAAAAGAGAAAGGCAAAAGCTTTCGCCTTTTATACTTCCCCTCAAATCGAACGAGAGGCGTACACGTGGCGCACTATTCATTAAACGCCATAGAAAATATTCTAAATCCACAAGAGTGGGGGACTGGTAAGTGGGGGACTCGGGAACGAAATCAAAAAACAAGACTACAACGAGCTTAGAACAACGCAACAACCTCGGGGTCGGTACCAGACAGGTATATCTCGAGAAACAAATTCTGCACACACAAATTGAATTCTTTACAATTTTTTGCAAATAAATTTTTTCAACCCACGGTCAGGACCGTGGATGTAGCAGCTAACCCATGAAGCATGTTTGGAAACGCGAAAGGCATGAAGCTCGAGCTCGGACATACTTGCAGCGGGGCGTCGCTTTCCTCTCCGGACTTCATGGCAAAGCGGAGTATACTCTTTTTCCTCCTTTAGGATTTTTTCCCACATGGTTTTTCCTCAACAGAGTTTTTAATGAGGTAACCCTTTGTTTTTACCATGGAGAGCAGCACCCCTGCGGGGCGCGCAAGCCCATGAAATTGAAGACTTACTCCCTCTCACCTCAAGTGTCACTTTCGCTTTGGAGAGTGAGAGACTCATGATAGAGTATATTCCCATATACCCCAGGAGTATCATAATCGTCGGCATAGAGCATCACGGATGCACATCGGAGTGCATATAGAGACTAAGTCCACAACTGGAACTGACTCCGACCCCGACCAACCAGGGTCAGGAACAAGCCCCAAGCAACAGAATGATCAAGGACCAAGGAGTCTTCCAGCCGAGGTCGGGAAAAATACCAGGCTCAGGAATCGATCAAACTCGGCAAGTTAGGAGCCCGACCTCGAATGCACCAAGCTTGGCACCAGGCCCGACCTCAGACATCACACATGGTCAACCAAAATCAACCAGGAAGCAGTTAACGATCTCAAAGACAGAACCTGAGACAAGGTGAATTCCCCCCGCGATGAGCCCGAGTCTCCAAATACTGACCTCAGTAAGCTCGAGGTCTAACTAAAGCACTGTGGACTTGGACAAATCCACAAAGGAAAACATCACAGGGAGGGTTGCCACGTCAGTACGTCACCCCGACAAACGGATAACGTTCTAGATTGCACACGCATAACCACACGGGTATTCGGTTGGCAGTCTGTTAGAAGTAGCTCCAATCAGCCAGCTGTCCAAGACTATCTCTCCAATCACCTTTACACGTGGTTGCTCCCCACCAATTTAGACTGTTAGTTTGTTAGAATAGATTGGACACATGTCCTCCTCCAATTAGATCAACATCTTTTTACTTGGGCACCAAGTATTGCTTATTCTAGTATAAATACCACCTTCCAACTTGTGGAAAGGGATCACATTCTCAACTCTCATACTGTTACTCTACCGTATTATCTACCTGTACTTTCCGATCAGTTCTCTCTCGTTTTACTTGAATTCCGACTACCCCTGATCCGGCGATCAATCAGTCACATTTTTATCCTTTTATAAAAATGATCACATTTTTTTAAATTAGCCTAAAATTATAATGTTAAAGGAAAAAGCCCAAATATCTTTTTTGTTAGTAAAAGGCCCTAGCATTTAGAAGTGAGTTTCGTGAGCCTCGATCTTTCCGTTCAACAGCGACAATTAAGTCAGATACTCTCTTCTGCTCCTCCTCCGAGCTCCCACCTTCCCGCAGAGCCCACCGTTGTCACTCGGATCTTTCCTCACCCAACTAAACGAAGTAATTATGTCAGATGCGCTGATAAGCGGCCTCGCCGGAGCCGGTGGCGGCATCATCGCTCAGCTAATCACCTATCCGCTTCAAACTGTACATCTACTTTTATTTTATTTTCACTTCATATTCAGAAACATTCTCTGTTTTTCATGAAAATTCCGTATCAGGTAAATACGCGACAACAAACGCAGAGAGAATTGAAGGAGGAGAAGAAGAAGCAGCTGAGTACTATTGAACATATGTGTCAGGCAATTTCATTTGCACTGTTTTCTTGAACTCATTTTCTCTTCTTAGTAAGAATTTTAGTTAAATTGAGGTATTATAACGGCGATTCGTACAGGTTGCTAGGCAAGAGGGCTGGGATCGGCTATATGGCGGCTTGGCACCGTCGCTGGTCGGAACCGCGGCTTCTCAGGTGCTTTTTTTGATTTCCTCTTCTCGCCTGTGCTAATTTTGCCGAATGCTATGGCGCTCAACTTCCATCTGGTTGAGTTCTATATGGTAACCCTCATTAACAGTTTATTTTTGGTAAATTCTACTCGTGTATGATAACTCTAACGTTTAGGTTTTTTTACCTCCTTCCCCCCTTAAGTTTCTTATTGAAAGATGACACTATTCACAGTAATTAAATAAGGTAATTCGAGCATATTTTCAGAAGTCATTTTGAATGGTACATAAAATAATGAGGTCATGATAACTGTGATGCTAGTTTTTTTTTTATATTCATTGATTACTTTGTGATTTAAGAATGATAATAATTTTATAAAATAGAAACATGAAATTTTAGCTGGGACGTCAAAAAAAGGTTAAGTGAGAAGCTTAAGTTGGTAGGTTTAAAATCCAAAAATGCTTGTCCTACTACTAAAATGGCTTTAACAAGTTTTAACCTACTGTTTTCTCTATGAGACTTAACCACTGCTACTCATTTCAAATCTTCTATATTCTTTCATAAAATATTTTTTCATTGTTATTTTGTTACAGTTAGTTCCAAGGCTTTAAGCAAGTTTTTGTGTAACCACGACACCTAGAGAATAACTGTGATGTGACTGAAATGTTATTATCCTATTAGAGAAAGTGTTATTATCTTTAAATATTACCTCTAGTTTGAGTTTCTCTATGTACAAAAAAATATCATTCCCCTCTCTATACAATGTTATTTTATTTAATTTGATGTATGAGGAGTTAAGATGTGAACACTTTTTCACATAGATACTGCAACATTAAAACATATTAGTAGCTAAAACTCTTGTATTGTAAAATAGAGCTGACTAAGAGTGAAGAATGTAACCTTACAATTTTAAAAGGAAAAATATAGTTTACAAAAATAGTACTTCAAGCATGTTAAATTAAGAAGTGCTTGTTGGTTAATGCAGTTTTGATCACAGAGGCAATTTTTTTGGGTTTTATGGATTCCACATGATTATTAAACTTTTGCCTACTAAATAGAAAACTTCAAAACGGGAGTTACCATATAGAAGTTTACTAGATTTCAAGCCCACAACTCGGATTATATTTTTTTTGTCGAAATAATAGAAAAGTATTAAATTTAGGGTTACCATATGAATTTAACTAGATTTTAAGCCTGCCACATAAATTATAATTTTTTCGTCTTCAAATTAGAAAACTATTAAACCAAGAGCTACCCATTCATTTTTTGTAAGTCGCTTTGTATTTGTTTTTAGGAAGTTTATAAATACTTGTTTCGCTTCCTCCTTCCATGTCAAAATACATATATATCCTTACTTGTTCATCTTCTCTGTCTCACTTTTTCGTACTTCATTTATTCTGCCCACTCAAAAATTGTGAAAACCTAGTGGAACAACTAATAAAAACCAGAGAAGTATACGTAGTAGTATTTTACCCCATACATTTATATATAAGCATAACATATTATTTCCTTGGCATTTTTTATTTTTGTACAGAATAAAATCAATGCAAAAGAATATGTAGTATGTTGTTAAAAACTCTCATTGCTAATCTTTTAAAAAACAGTCATATTATGAGGCCGAATAGGTGTGCATGCTATTTTTTAAGTATACTTCTCATGTATGTGTTTTTCATATAACTTGGGTAAATTTCTCAAAATAGGAGTCAAGACAGTGAGATGTTCCAAAATAAGAATGCTCTGTTTTCCCCATAAATAGAACTAAATTACTGACGCCCTAGAATAGTATTGCCATAATTTGGCATTAAGACGCATTAATATGGCAGTATTGATGCCATAATTCACAATATTTTCCAACCATAGCAGTAATTATTTAGGGAAAACATATAGACTATATAGTACTCCTACTTTGGAATATCACATTGTTTTTTCTCCTATTTAGGGTAACTTCTATATACCCTAATAAAAAGCTGAAATGTATTTAGAATTTTCTTAGTCCATTTTTTTTAAAATCAAATAACTTATCTATTCATTAAATGATAGCAAAGAAACAAGTGATTGAATAGCCTAATCCAGCAATAATGTAGTCTAGTCTAATAGCCTTCTTCCTCTTGTTAGTACTCCAAAGAAAAATAAAAAATTACGAATAAAAGATCTGGTTTCACCAGCCACCGAAAATGGAGAATTGGTTTGACCCAAGGTAGTAAAGAGTGAGCGCCTGGGCGCTTAAGCGCACCAGGTGCCACACACATGAGGCTTAGCAACTGAACAATGGCCATGTGCAGCCCCCTGTCTGAAGCGCAGTTTAGGCACAGAAGCGTCATAGCTTAGAAAAGCGCACACTGATAATACTATAATACTGATAAGTTGCCTGGGCTGGGAAAGGCTTATCAGTTTATTTTTTTGTTTGATCCTACTTTAAATAATAAGCCCATACTGATAATTAAAGGTAAAAACAACTTATACCCATATTAAACCCTTCTTAGTCATAGGAAAAGTCTTGACTTCATCGTTACTCTCCTATGCTGCTTTGTGCTCTACTTGCGCAATATGCTCAACGCTGAAACACATTCAACAAACCCATAGAAGCCAGAAACCCATAAGGTCTCCTCTTCATCATCATCTTCCCTTCTTTCTTTTTTTTTTTCAGCTCGTAGTTTTCATTTATTTTGTCATCTTCTTCGTGATCCTTTCATTTTGTTCTTTCAGTCTATCGTCTTTCTTTACTTTTATCAGTTCCAGTCATCTATGCATACATTATACTCCCTCAGTCCCAAATCACTTGGTCAACACAAATCACTCTTATTCTCTTACTTTATATATCAACTTTTTATCAAATTTTATTGTGGTTCTTGCGACTTTGTAAAACTTTTGGGTGCATAATATGAGTGCGGACATGGATCGATTTGCTTTATCATCGGACATGTACCTGACTACCGTTTACATTATATGTACTCTATATTATTTCATCTTATTATACAGCCTATAACTCTATATCTTCTTATTATCATTTCATACTTTAACAGTATAAGAACTTCATATAATCTAACTCAGTTAATAATTTCATAAACTATGCTTCCTCTGTCTCGTTAAGATTGCCACATCTTTTATTTTCGGTCCGTCCCACTAAGATTGTCCCATACCAAATAAGGTAAATTCGTGTGGTTCTAAATCATTCTTACTTTATCAATTCAATATCAACTACGTAAACCCACTTTTCTTAATAACTGCACCACCTCCTCATGTCCCAATGTTAGTGGGACGAGTGTAGTATAATTTATGCTATTCCTAGTGCTACAACAACATCCAAGCCTTAGTCCCAAAAGATATTGGGGTCGGCTAACATGAATCGATACATGATATCACCACCAAAAGGAAAAGAAAGAAAATAAAGATAAGCTATGATAAAAAGATAATATAAAAAGAGATGAATATACATAAAAATCAATATATATATATATATAAATGAGGAACTTTTTAAGAGCATACAAAGCGCCACATAATCCTGCCATGTCATTATATATAACAATTATTTACTTATTTTTATACCTTTTGTTTTTATTAAATTCTATTTTTGATTGCATATTGATATGGAAACAAAAATCCTTATAAATCCACCTTAATTAATTTGGAAACTAATTTATATTAGTTTACTACACCGAATTAAATAGAAACAAATATGCAAATTAGTTTACTTATTAATTTGACACCTATTAATAAATTAGTAAGCTTCAAATAAGTAAATAATTAAAAATGAAATAAAAAATTATAACCAACATAAAGTATATATATTTTCACAAGTAAATATGTTTAGCTTAGCCAAATAAGTAATTTTTTTGGTTGTTTCTTTATTTTACACCTAAAATTCAAATATGCTTTCACTTTTGAAATAGATTCCTAATCCAAATTAGAAAATCTTTATAGGTTTACGAATTCCTACTTTTATTTTAATAGAATGTTTTTAATTGGATTGATTTCAGTTCCAGAGTAAATCAGATCATATCAAACTTTAATAATTATAACAATAAGTCACATAAAAAATAGACATCTAATAGACCATATTAATTCATACCAAATCAAACCCGAAATTTTAATTCAATTAAAAACGTTCTTATTAATGAGTAAATTGTAAGATCTAACAATTAAGAAATATAGAATTTTTTATTATTGGGTTCATGACAATTATGTTTACTTGAGATGCTTATGTAGAAGATCAATTTAACTTTTTTTCATATATTTTTTTCTTTGTTTCACAAATAGAATATATTTCACATATATTTTTCATGATTCATAAGATTCCACCTATTTAACAAGAATTCAATCAATTTCAGCAAAATAAGTTAATTCTATTTACTTTAGTATTATCAAACAGACTCTATATTAGACTAAGTTTATTTTTCTTTTAAATCACATTATATGTGATCCGATAGAAATTAAATTTCAAATTAGCTAAATTACATACTGAAAGCCAGTGATAAAATAAAAAGGATACAAATAATGCTTATATATAAGGATCAAAACAAGGAAAAAAGATCAGGGGAAAAGATGATACGAGATCAGTCCTCCACACGAATACCCGCCCTCCACTTAGCTCTCTCCAAACTCATGCCCTCATCCAACCCCAGAAGAAGCATATCAATTCGAACTCCCCTAACCCACGTCTGTTTGGGTCTTCCTCTTCCTCTCTTCCCTGCCTCTTCTCCACACATCTCAACTCGTCTGACAGGTGCACCACCCGGTCTTCTACGCACATGACCAAACCACCATAGGCGTGACTCCCGCATCTTGTCTTCAATAGGTGCTACTCCCACCATTTGTCTGATTGTCTCATTCCTCACGCGGTCCTTCCTAGTATGCCCACACATCCAACGCAGCATGCGCATCTCTGCCACACTCATCTTTTGAATGTGACATTGTTTCACCGCCCAACACTCTACACCATACAGTAATGCAGGCCTAATTGTTGTCCTATAAAATTTACCATTCAGTCTAGTCGGCATACCTCGATCACATAGAAATCCTGACGCACTCTTCCACTTCATCCATCCTGTTCTGATTCTATGAGATACATCTCCATCTAACTCACCGTCCTTCTGAATTATGGAGCCCAAGTAACGGAACATATCACTGACTGGTATCTTCTTACCATCCAGAGTAATTCCGCTATTACCACTGCTTCTACCTCCACCAAACTTGCACTCCATGTACTCTGTCTTGCTCCGACTTAGTTTGAAACCCTTATTCTCCAATGTTTGTCGCCATTCTTCCAACTTTGCTTTAAGACCTGATTGCGTCTCATCAATCAATACAATATCGTCGGCAAACATCATGCACCACAGTATATCGTCTTGAATTGACTTCGTAAGTTCATCCATGACTATGGCAAATAAGAAAGGGCTCAAAGCTGATCCTTGGTGCACTCCGATAGTAATAGGGAACTCTTCAGTCCTCCCTACACTAGTACGGACACTTGTAGTACAATCCCCATACATGACTTTATTTTTGTGTTTTGTTTTTGTGAACCATGACTTTATTTTGGTGAATTATGACTTTTTGATGCCATTAGTTCAATATGATGTTGAATATGTCGTATTTGATCACTCTAGAATAGTACACTTTTTGAATATGCCATTAGGTACATAATATTTTCGAAATAGTGCGCTTGACCCGAGTGAGGCGAGCGTTTTTTTGCGCCTTGCACTTCAGCAAAGAGTTGACACGGTTTATAAAGGGTCTCTGTTCTCCACTTTTATAATCTAGTTCATCCCATTCGAGTACTACAATCAACCTCTTAGACTTCGTTAATGAGATCTTTCTTCTTATTCTTTCATGAGCTTGTTCAGTTCTTGTTTGATTGGGGTAACGAACATAATACTACTACTTTTTATTTATTTATTTATTTCTCCTGTTTCAAACATTCAATGAATCACATATCCACCAACGCTGACTCTCTCATGGCAAGTATGAGAATACCTTCCTCAACTTTTAAATAGCCAACAATACCTAGAAAGTTTAAACTCTTGTGAGTACCAATGTACCATACAGCCTCTATTTGTGGTCCCTTACGGTTTATCTTTGAAAATCTTGCCAATGAATAGATCCATCCGGGCATCCATCTCATATATTATGATTAAATATAGTTTGTATGTGTTTTTCTTTCTTGGCGTGGATATTGACGTATGCTTACATTCGGGACTTGATGAAATATACGAAGACCGTGACAATTTTATGGTTGAAATTCCTTGCACCTAATGGTTTGTTTGTTTGTTAATTGTATTTGTTATTCTTTATGTAATTTTTCTGGGTTTTAACCATTTTTTCTGTGTTCAAAACTTAAAATTTGGGATAGATTATAATAAGATACAAGACCGGATAAGAAACATTCCAATCATATCATTTTTTTCAATGAAGAGAGCAAATCCCAAGTATAAAACTATTTCATTATGATACTTTGGCAAACAGTGTATCATATAAATTATATCTTGACTTCAATTTTCATGATACAGGGTGTCTACTACTACTTCTATCAAATATTTAGGAACAAGGCTGAAGCTGCTTCCCTTGAGCGTAAAAGGAGGGGGATTGGTGATGGATCAGTTGGAATGTTATCATCACTTGTAGTAGCTGCTCTATCTGGGTAATTAACTACCGTGACTATGGTCAATGCATATAATCAGACTCAACGTTTGAGCTGTGAATAAGTCAACAGCATTATTCATCCAGTCATGGATTCTTACTCTCACATGATATCGATTGGCACTGGTTTTGCTGTGTACTACTTCCCCCCTTTTTCTCAGCTGCTTTCATTAATAAAAAAAGTGATTTTGGACTTTTTGGCCTTTCTATCTTACAGGTGTGTTAATGTGCTGCTGACTAATCCCATATGGGTAGTTGTCACCCGCATGCAGGTAAGTTATCTTTGCTAAAGATGGGCGTACTCACATACAATGAGTTCATTTACTTGAGTGTTAATGGCAAGAGGTATATAGTTTACCGGTTTACGCGAGTCTTTGCAAACACGCGCCTCAATGAGAAATTCATAGAAGAAGACCGGCAGGAGCTTAGGTTTCATATTTATATTGCTTAATGTACCGCTTCAGATGTGTCTAGAAAAAGCTGCTAGAAACACGCTGAAGAGCTGTCAAATATCCACCACGTCCCCACTTGGCATGTCATGACAATCAGACAAGATCTTGGTGAGGAGAGAATGTTCTTGGCTACCTCTGGAATAACCAAACGCCCATTATAAAGCAGCTTATTACCAACCAAAGAATAATCTGCACGAACCCTAGGTTTCCGGCATTAGAGAATTTATAATATCCCTGGTAACATGATCTTGCAACAAAGCTGATAGAGAGAAGGGAGAGCAGGGGGGCTGTGTGGAAGAGGAGGGTCTGAGACCCAAGGGGCTGACGGTTTACTGCAGGCAGGAACGGGCTTGAGCCCACCTCCGTGGGCTGGTTGCGGGCTGCTTAATTAATATTTATTATTTTTAATTTTCCTGATTTGTTTCCAATTTGGAGTTAACTAGGATTTCTATTATTTGTTTCCTATTAGGAGTTAATTAGGATTTCTATTATTTGTTTCCTATTTGAAGTTGATTAGGATCTTTTTTTATTCTATTTCCTAGTTGGAGTTGATTAGGATTTCTAGGATTTTGTTTCCTAGTTTGTGAATTAGTAGATGAGAATTTAAACCCCTTGTTAGGATTCATTCTGGCTCATCTTGGAATAAAATCGGAGTTTAGCCTTTTGGCTCTGGGCAACGGTATTTTTATCGTTGATTATCTGGGCAACGGTTTACCCCGTTGATTTTTATTTTTCGGTTCACAACAATTGGTCCAACCTGCTGGATCCCGTTCACGTCGGAATGAAAAAATTGAACATGAAAAAATTAAACCAGAAATTGGCTGCGCTCACTGCGCTCATGAAGACTTTTATGCCGCCGACGTCGGAAGGGCACTCATCCACAGCTGTGTCACCAGATTCTGCATCAGCATCTGCGTGCAAACTTACGGAGATTGCCGAGCAGGAGAAAGATGCAGCACTAGGAAGTTGTGGGTCGGGAAGGCTTGCTTCTTGCTTTCTTGATTCCATGGCAATCCTAGATTCGCCAGCATGGGGTTATGGACTGAGGTACAAGTATGGACTACACAAGCAACATATTACGGAAGCTGGACAAGAGGAAGTTACTGAAGGTTGGCTTGAGAAATTCAGTACCTGGGAAGTTGCAAGGTATGACATTGTGTTTCCAGTCAGATTTTTTCCTGATGTTGAACCCAATGGCTCCCGGAAAGGGATTGGTGGGGAGGTCATACAGGCGGTTGCATATGATGTTCCAATTCCTGGCTATAAAATAAAGAACACAAATAGTCTTAGACTTTGGCAGGCCAAAGCTAGTGCAGAGGACATAAACTTATTTCAAGTTAACAGTGGTCAATATGAATCTACTACACAGTTTCACTCTAGTGCTCACCATATTTGTGCTGCCTTTGATCCCGATGATGCAACAGAAAGTGGAAAACTTGTAAGACTTAAACAACAATTTTTGCTAAGTGGTGCGTCACTTGAGGATACCATATACATATTTAAGGAGAGGAATGATGGGAAGGGTACGCTTGATTGGTCTTCATTCCCCTCAAAAGTTGTACTGTTAGAGGCCAGTAGGAATAGCAATATGAATTTTGTACTGAATGGGTGCCTAATCATAGGAACACTGGACGGGGCTAATATGGAAACCAGAGAGGAAATTGGGGAAGATAATTTTTTCCTTTTTGGGGTAAGAGCTCAAACTTATTAAAAGCGACCAAAAGCGCGCTTAAGCGCTGAAGCGCAAGCGAGCGCATGCTTTGCGCCTGGCTTTTCCGAAGCGCAGCTCCGTGAGAAAGCGCAGCTTTCCGACGCTTTTCCGTCGCTGAGCTTAAGCGCAAAAAGCACGATTATTATGGGCTTCTCACGAAAAGCGAAGATGACTGTCCAGATGACTTAAATCCTATTTTTTTTGTTTTTCTGGAATTAGGTTTAACGAACACTGCCCGTTTCTTTTCCCCTCTGCGTCGCACGAACTCCTTACTCCTCTCTCCATCGCCAAAGCCATCCGCACGACCTCCTCTCTCCATCGCCAAAGCCATCGCACGACCTCCTCTCTCCATCGCCAAAGCCATCGCACGACCTGCTCTCTCCATCAGTCCATCCGCTGCTACTCTGCTTTTCACACTGGTGACTGGTCTGCTACTGCCTATCTTCTTCTTTGTTTTGCTGTATTTCTTCTTTGTTCCGCTGCGATTGAACTGCTCTCTCCATCTGCTGCTACTTATTGCTACTTATTGTATTTTAAAGTAGTCTCTGTTTTATTATTTGGCTTTTTTTTAACAAACTTGCCTGGTTTTAAACATTATACATTTTTGAAACATGTACGTCTAAAGGAAAATGTCGGGAATGCAATCCAAAACGACGGACCCGGCATGGCAGCATGGAGAGAAAGTCTCACAAAATGATTATACTCGTGTTCGATGCATTTATTGTGATAAAGTAACAACTGGAGGCATATACCGTCACAAGCAACATCTTGTCGGTGACTTTCGATGTGTGAAGGCATGTGACAAGTGTCCTCAAGAAGTTAGAATTGCCATGAAAGAGGTTTTGGATGCAAAAAATCAAAGAAAAGAATCTTTGAAAGAGAACTCTTTAGGTCCTGATTTTGATGATGATGATGTTGAGGAGATTGAATGTGAAGATGGTACGAGCAAAACATCAACAATAAAAGGCCCAATGAATTTGTACTTCAAAAGTGTTTCAAAAGAACATCAAAAATTGAAAAGAGCAAGAGGGGTAGAAGTAACTCTAGCAACTTGCAAAAAAGAGTTGAGAGAAAAGGCTGTAACTGCATTTGCACGATGGATGTATGAAGCCGGGTTGCCATTTAATTGCGTGAATTATAAGACGCTACAAAGTTTCATTGATGCTGTGGCACAACACAGGCCAGGCATGAAGGCTCCTACTTACCATGAAGTGAGAGTGCCATATCTCAAAAAAGAAGTAGATCATGTGAAAGAGCTTTTTAAACCACATGAGGATATTTGCAATAGGGCATTGAGGCGTCGGTGGGAAATGCGTGACTCTATCGATCCAATTTGTTTAGAATATATAGACATGGCAAATGAATGGTTGACGGGTACTCTTGATGATGCAAACGAAGAGTTGGTCTTTGATGATGGAGATACTTTGACATGGGGGGACGTTGCGAAGTTTTCCGGTGTACATGATACACCATATTCTCTAAGACGCAATTCAAAAGGGAAAGAAAAAGTGGGAACTTCCAAGTCCAAGTCCAAGGAAAAAGCCTCCACCCATAGGCTTGTTGATGAAGATGAGGAAGAAGATGAAAAAGATGTTGGGGTGTATAATGATGATAGTGATGACTTCGATGCTTTGGTTATGGATGAAGAAGAAGGGAACATTCATGTGGAGGATGACATTATGGAGTGATAATGCTTCGTAGAATTGATTTTATGACATTATTATGACATTGTGTGATGCATATTTTCTACCTTTATGTCGCATTATTAGTACTATTATGAGTATTATGACTATTGATGTGTTTTTGACTTAATTATGCATTGGAATATTTTATATTTGTATTTTTCTATAGCCATCGTTTTTTTGTGTAAAAGCGACGCTTCACTTAGCGCTTTCGCTTTTTATAAAAGCTCTAAGTTCTCGCTTTTGGTCGCTTTTCGCTTAAAATAAGTTTGTAAGAGCTGAAGAAGTGCCTCTTCTGCATAAAGAAAGAGAAAACAGTCAATTTAAATCAGATCCTAGGATTAAAGAGAGCTGTGTGAGGCAGTTTTCAAATTGCAACCTTGAGGACAAGGTTATTTTGAAGGAGGATGGATTGATAGAGAGAAGGGAGGGCAGGGGCTGTGTGGAAGAGGAGGGTTTGAGACCCAAGGGGCTGATGGTTTACCGCAGGCGGGAACGGGCTGGTTGCGGGCTGCTTAATTAATATTTATTATTTTTAATTTTCCTGATTTGTTTCTTATTTGGAGTTAACTAGGATTTCTATTATTTGTTTCCTATTAGGAGTTAATTAGGATTTCTATTATTTGTTTCCTATTTGAAGTTGATTATGATCTTTTTTTATTCTATTTCCTAGTTGGAGTGGATTAGGATTTCTAGGATTTTGTTTCCTAGTTTGGGAATTAGTAGATGAGTATTTAAACCCCTTGTTAGGATTCATTCTGACTCATCTTGGAATAAAATTGGAGTTTAACCTTTTGGCTCTAAGCAACGGTATTTTTATCATTGATTTTCTGGGCAACGGTTTACCCCGTTGATTTTTATTTTTCGGTTCACAACAAAAGCATCCTGAAGATTTAAGATATTCATGTTGACAGGGGTAAGACTGCGTACATCCGACCCCCCTTACCCCACCATAGGTGGGAGCATTTGCGGCACTGGGGTAATGACGATGACGACGATGAGGAGGTTGACAGGTATAACTAGGGCTGGATTCGGTTCGGTAACCGAACTGAAAATGAAAAAAAACCAAACCGAACCGATTTTATCGGTTTGACAAAAAGTGCAACTGAAACCGAACCAAATGTATTTGGGACCCAATTAATTGGAAACCAAAATTTCGGTTCGGTTTTTCGGTTTTGGTAAAAACCGAATGAAATTTGAATTAAATCTCATTCTAATAAAATATTTGACTACTTCAGTAGCTACTAAGAGCTCTTGGGCATCTTTAGCCACCTACTTGTATTCAACTCCAAAGGGGGCGAATATATAGGAAGGTATGAGGACTAAAGTCTCAACTTTAACCGGTGTGGGAAAACTTTCGTTGCTGAAGAAAAAGTAAAGCAAAGAGTGCAATAAACAAAAACATAAAATTTAAAGAATTCCGAAGG